GAGATGTTCTGGTCTTTTGTTTTCCTTTCTATTGTCTCTTTTGAATAGTGTGTAGATGTTTTTTATCTCTATGTGCCTGTTGATGGTTGCCTTGTCTAGATACCAAGCTGCCAAGAATTCCCTCCAGAACCCCAAGGACTCCAAAGCCTTCTCCAACAGAAAATCTCTCAAAGTTTTCCACTGCATCTCTTTTATCTATCCTTATCTTTTTCTCCACTAGTTTTGCTTCCTCTTCTACAAACAACATATTGGAAGAAAATGTTACCTAACCAGTATAGTAAGTTAACAAATCTGTGGGTTTGTGGTGTGCAGTTTTCAGTAGCACATGACTATGAGCAGACAGTTGATTTAAATTGTAGCTCAGAATGTATGGAATAGTCACAAGATACCCCCCAAACCCATCTTCTGTATTAAACAGTTTGCAGATCTTGATGAAAATCACATACTGTAATGATTGTGAGGAACATTTTATACTGAGTCTGTAAGATTAGAAACAATAATGAATAGAAAAATATGTTAAGCAATATACAGGCAACTTTTCAGAATTGTGATGGCAATGTGATGAAGTAAGAGGAACGTTGTTTCAAATATAGAGAAATTTACAAGTTGTAATACAAAATACTTGCCAAACACAAAATTGAAAGAATGTTCTGTTCTCATAGAAAGTGAGAGGTAAAACACACCACTTTCCAAATTCCATCAGTAGAGGGAACTTTTTCATAAGGGTTCTGTCCTGGACCCAATACTCTTCAGTATTTTCATAAATGAGTTAAATGAGGGGATAAAAGTATGCTAATCAAATTTGCACGTGATACAAAGTTGGAATGTATTGCTAACACCTCAGAAGATAAGCTCAAAGTTCAAAGGGATTTTGATAGTCTTGAACACTGGGCCCTTTCTAATAAAATGCAATTAATTGGCAAGAAATGTAGGGTTGTGAACTTAGGAAAAACTAGATGCAAGCTACAATGTAGGAAACATCTGGATGTCCTGGTAGATCATGGATTAAGTATGAGCAGGAGTGTGTGATAGCTATCGAAAGAGGTAATGCGATGTCTGACAGTATAGTTTTCTATGCTGACTGGTCAGATCACACCTGGAATATTGTATTCAGTTCTGGTCACAATACAAGGCGGATGCTGAGGAGCTGGAAAGAGTGCAATGAAGATGGTGAGGGGCTTAAAGAACAGGTAAAAGAATTGGGTATGTTTAGCCTAACGAAGTCTGAGGAAAGCATCTGCTCCACTAGGTAGGCCAGATCAAAAGACTATAACTATATGGGTAGTTCTCAGGTTATGATGGCAATTGGGGCTGGAATTTGTGTTGCTAAGTGATGTGGTCATAAAGTGCGTCACATGATTGTGTCACTTAACGACAGCAGTTCCAGCAGTCTCGGTTGCCATCATTAAGCAAGGACCACGTGGGCCATTAACCAAGGACCAAACGTGGGCCATTAACCACAGTCACCAAACGTGACTGTGACTTCCAACTTCCTGCCGGCTTCCCCATTGACTTCACTTGTGGGGAAGCTGGCCAGGGACACCAGAAATTGTGATCATGTGACCATGGGG